CTTGAAAGAATTCCTAGCCTCCAACGTTTCTCTCAACTATATCCTCGCATCTTTTATTTTATTGATACTGCAGTATATGAGCTCATGTTCACTATCAACCCTTGAGGTGCCTGTCAAGTAAGCTCCAAACTTATCACCCTAAATGCTGCATCCTTTAGATAAGATATTAAGTACACTGTTCAGTTGAATGCTGAAGATCCCTTGGCACTATTCAAAAGGAGAAGGAAATTTCTCGCAGTGTCTTGGCCAGTAATCTCCCAAATATAATTGATCATTCACTTCATGGCAGGAGTTTGCTGTAAGCAAATTAGCTCCATGTTCACCTACAAAATACACAGTCACTGCACTTTACAGTAATCCTGTGAAACACTTTGAGCATTTTTCCCAATGTGAAAGGTGCTTTGCTCATCAAATGCCAAGAATAGTATTTAGTATTATATTTCTTTCTGGACTATCACTGTCATGAAATCAAAATTTGTTTACTGGCTCCGACCGTAACTTATTTGTATCTTCCTAGGATCTCAAGACGTTGAAACACCTTATCAGCTCACATTTCCCTGCCTCCTACAATATGCATTCAACATCAGCCATCAATATTGTACAAAAATGTGTGGTATAATAACCACAACTTTTTGGCATGTACGGTATTTTGTTCTTTGCTCCTCTACTAATTTGATGATGTGCTGTATCACATATGTGCTTCAATGCATTTCTCAAACAAGTTGTTTAAAACCGCTGGAAGATCTTCAATATAAATATTCATGATACTCAAAACAATCACTTTCCTCGTCTCTGTTGTAACAACCACTGAAATCGGCTTACTTAGAGACAATTCTATTTCAAATGCATTTAAAGTCAACTGAAACCATTTTTCCAAGTTCTGCACACTCTAAAATGTTATATAAATAGTGTAAATCTAGACCCAAGTGGAATTTCTCCCCAATGGAGATAGATAATAAAAAAACCTTTGTATATAAATACCCTGAAAGCTATCAGATAGGGCAACTCAAGGTCTTTCCATTTATTTCTCTTTGTAAATTCAACCCCAAGCTGTTAATGGTCACAGTATTTTACAGCAATCATTGTGAAGTGTTTTGAGACATTTCAACATCATAAGTGCTGTATCAAAAGCAAAGAATATTTTTCATCTTGCTATCAATAGGTTTTCTATTTACTAACTTGAACAAGGGTTCCACCTGAGGAGGTGTCTTCAGGAGAATAGAACTTCAACAGGTTTAAATGTATTGGCAGAATTTTCTTTTATACAAAAAACATGCTCCAGTTGAAGAGAATGTGTATCAAAGTGTATCAGACAAGTAATGTCATTGTGGTTCAAAAACACAATCGCAGCCGGCTACAAAGAGACATTTCTGTTTTAAGCACACTTTGATATGGCTTTATAAGATTTTTCTCTGCAGGATTGAATGCAACACAAAATAAGCTTTTCTTCTTCATTGGGGGGAAGTTAAAACAAAGTGGATGTCTGTATTGGTCATGATCCCCATTAAACTCTCACTTGCTTGCACTGATGAATCGATTCAGGTGAACTGGCATATGAGATGGTGCCACAGGTAAAATCTCAGGAGAAACTCCTGAACTGCTGTTTGCAAGCATTGCCAGAGCTTTCCAGAGGACCTCACCAAACCTCCTCGTTCTCACTTACAAATCCCTCCACGGTCTTATTTCCCCCTTCTTCTCCAACCTCTTAACCCCATATCAGCCTGTCCACTCGCTCCGCTCGGCGGACACCAGCCTGCTTCAGGTCCCCCACACTTCCTGCCCGCATTCAGCATCTCTGCGCCCACATTCTGGAACTCTATCCCACAATCCCTCCGTCTTACCCCCTCTCTTGCCTCCTTCAAGTGCCATCTAAAGAGCTTCCCCTTCGACCGTGCCTTTGGCCACCCTCCCACACCCCTACCCTTCACCCATACTGACCCCAACTCCCAGCACGGGTCCTCTGATTGTCCAACGTCCTGGGACATCTTTCTGACATGAAGGGCACTATACAAATGTAATTTGGTGTTGTGTCCGTCATCATCAACAACATCATCTACAGCATGCAAATTGTGCACTTCACGTGGGGCAGCATCTTGGAGTGCTTCAATGTCCGTCTGGTCAGTATCACTGATGAATCAGACGATTGTGGGTTCAAAACCCCACGTAGGGTCTCAGATAGTCTATGCTGACTCTATGCTGACGTTTGGGGTGTACTCCATTGTTTGAGGTGCCGTCCTTTGGATTAGATGATAAACTGAGATCCTGGACATCTGCCTGCCTGTTCAGGTGGATTCTAAACATCCCATGGCACTGTTTGAAAAGAGAAGGGAGTTTCTCCTGGAGTCACCACCAAATAAAATTGGTCATTCACTTCATTGCTGTTTGAGGGACTTTGGTGTGGGATATTCAGCCCATCTATTTGTAAGGAAACACAGCATCCATTGTGTGCTCAGAAACTTGGTGACAATTTTTATCTGAGGGATTGTTGACCAGGACGCTGGCATTAACTCTCTTCTTTGCATCTAAGACAAGAAGAATGTCACTTCTATCTTTGCAGCGTGCCCTTTTCATTGTAGTAGAGTGCCACGTTAGACTATGAGCTCCATAGGTAGCTGGAACCTGCAGTGTAGATGCAGGTTCAGATTTAAGATTCGCTTGCAATAGTGGTGGAACACTGCTTTATCAGAGGATTATGTGCAGGGTTGCTGGAATTGGGGAGGGGGGAATAAGAAAAAGGAGCTCAAGCTTTGCCCTCGGCAGCTCCCAAAAAAATCACCAGAACTTTCAGTTCTCTAGGGAATCATTATGGTCAACCTGTTCATACTTTAGACCTACAAGTAACTGAGACCTTCTCAACAGACAGCTGCTATATCTGAATATCTGATTTAAATGTATAATTTAGGCTGTTGAATAAGTCTTCGGTTAGTTTATCCATAGTAGGTCTCCAGTCTTCTCCTGAACGTATCTTACAGGGATTCTTATCTCTCACTACACTTATCTATTTGACTCACTTGGGCCCACGTTTATCAGTGGTGAATGCTCTTGACGCAGTTGCCTATTGTTGTGTTACCCAATATGGCAAGATTGGAATGATGTAGTAGAAAAAGTGAGACGTACATTAAACATATGAATCATTTTGTTTGTTAACTGCTACTAGGCTTGGCATGTTCTGAAAATTTACCATGAGCTATTTGAAAGGTTGTGTTGAATTGTCAAAAAAGTGATACTGCTCGCTAAAGATTTGTTCCGAGGAGAATAAGAACAGAAACCCATCCTGCCTTTTTATTAAATCATGGCAGAGCTTTAGCTTTCTAATCCTATTTCCCTGCTTTTCTTCAGATCCTTAATAAGTTCCCAAGAACTTATCTAGCTCCCTCTTAAACACCTCAATTGATTCTACATCAATAGGCTTCTGGGGCATTATATTCCACATTCTCACAATCTTTTGTGTGAAGAAATGTCTTCTGGATTTACTTTTAACCAATTTATCTCTACTTTTGAGATTATGGCTCCTGTTCAGGAATCCGTACAATTCTCTTTATTATGTAGACGACTGCAAGTAAATCACCCTTTAAGCTCCCTAAGCAGCAGTTTACTTTTCCCTCTTTATATAGTATTTTGTCTCCTTTGATTCATTTCACGTAGCAATGGACAGTGAAAATTTATTCATCACTTCGTAGCGTTTGTGGGACCTCGATGTACACAAATTGGCCGCCTGTCAATAAATGATAATAACACTTACATTTAATATTGTGCCCTTCATGTCTGGAGGACAACTCAAAACTCTTCACAGGATTTACTGTAAATTGTCACAACTGTGCATTTTGTAGGCAAAAAATACAGTCACTACACTTTAAAGTGAATCATGTGAAGAGCTTTGAGACTTTTCCTTAAAGGTGCTATATTAAAATACAAGGATTTGTTTATATATAATACTGCTATAGTATATTTTTTGTCATTGGAGTTAGCTAATTCTTTCTACTTCCTTTTAGATTCAATGTGAAACATGGAGATGTCTGAAAAGATTGTTTTGCATTTTGATGCATGATTCTTATTTTAGATTGAAAAATAATTGGGATTTGATACGATTCACACATTCCTCACACTGATTTCTTGATTTCCATTGCATTGCACACAGTTTTTTGATATGGCTATTTTGAGATGAGTGCATTATCATGGTATGTTCATCTGTATTTTGCTTATACTGAGAGCTGCTGTAGAGACAATATCAAATGACATAATTAGTGGTGAATGAATTAATGATACGGTCATTTATTAATGTCGAGTTCCTTGTTATACCTGCATCTCCTTTACAGAGAGCTTCTCCTGTCTGAGTTATGTGACAATTGTAGTAAAAAAGGTACGTTTTTTATACACAGAAGGATAAAAGGCTGATTGGAGGAGAATTGGTGACAACTTTTAAAAGGGAATTCAACAAAATATCTGGAAAAGAAACAAAAAAAATATTGAAGGTTATGAGGAAAGGACAGCGAAGGGAGATTAGATATAATGCTCTTTCTAACTTTCACAAAGTATAATTTTCAGAAGACTCTGAAACTTTCTGCCTCAATCTCTCCATCTTATTACCTTCTTGCATGTCTTCAGATCGCACCTGAAAACCTCTTTGACTGTGCCTATTGTCACCTCCCTTCTCTCCCGGCTCAGAATTAAGGCCAGCCATTGTTAAACGCTCCCAAGTTATTAGCCGTGTGAAATGCCCTATATAAATACAAGTTATTGTTGTCGTGTAGACACCCTGAGCTCAAAATTTCATCTGAACTTTGGGTAAGACCATTTTGTTTTAAAATGTAGGATCAACAGTTTTGCTTAATCATACATTTTAAGAAAAAAAGGCCTCACAGGCTAAGAACAGGTAGAATTCCGAGGCCAATGGTTCATGAGTTGTAAACTTCAATGATTTTAAAGTTGTTCAGTAAATTGAATTGGGAGGCGTTCTCAATTCATGGCATTGTATTTGATCTTGTATGCATGTTCTACAGGTGACAGTCCTGGCACATGTGGTGACCCTGGCATCCCATCTCATGGTTCAAGACTAGGCAACGAGTTCAAGACAAAAAATCTCCTGCGCTTTACCTGTGAAGCTGGATATAATCTGCAAGAATCATCTGAACGAACATGCCAGTCCAATGGCTCCTGGTCAGGGGTTCAACCAGTCTGCAAGGGTAAGCTGTTATTTTCTTCAGATCAGGCAACTATAAGCTGACAAAATCATCAAAGTGCAGTGTTGTATTGAGTAGATGGAAATAAAGGGGTGAAAAATGTAATGTTTTATTTATCCTTCAAACATGCTATTGAATACATTATGAAACATCACATTTGATTCACTTCAAGGTTTCTGTACCAGAAAATGAACATCCAAAGAGTGAACATGAATAAGTTACCATGCCTGTGGCACAGGACGTTTTCTATTTCTTTTAAATGCACTGGTTTTAATGAGCCCTTGCACTGGAACAATGTTCTGTGAACATGGTTGTGTCTGTTGTGTTGTAACCTTTCATTTTTATCATTGAACTATGGAAAAGTAATTCAGTGGCAGATTGGATATTGAAATGCTCATGTCTTCGTTTGTTGGTTGGACGACTCATGTCTTGGTTTGTGTGTTGAAAGATTCATATCTTGTTTAGCCCATTGAAATGCTTGTGACTTGGGTTTACGTGTTCACATGTTCATGCCTGTGCAAGTTCTAACTCTCATCTTCCTTCCATTACCAGCTGTATCGTGTGGGAATCCAGGCTCTCCGACCAACGGGAGGATAGTTTTCAGTGACGGCATAGTGTTCTCCAGCTCTATTTCGTACACTTGCTGGGAAGGTTATAAAACATCTGGTCTGATTACACGGCACTGCACTGCTAATGGAACCTGGACCGGCTCTGCTCCAGACTGCAAAGGTCAGCGCTACAGCATAAAGTGGGCACAATAGCAGTCAGATTTGTGTGATGCTTTATATCCCTTATATAGGTTATCAGGAAGGAGGGTTGAGGCCGGGAAGCTGGACTAATCTTAAAAAACACTGCTTGATGTTGTGATGAGACATGAAAAGGCGCTATATCAGATGCAAGTAGAGTGGGTGTTCATAAGTATGGGATCAAATGAGCTAAAGGGCCTTCTTCGTCCGAACAGATTTTGTGATCTTTCAAACATGACGTTGATTCCCTTGTGATAAGCTGGTCATCTTCTGTGTGCCATATGTTACACCAAAGCTGCATTCCCTCAAACCTATCCGAATTATTCCATCTTTTCAGAGAATTTGTTCACCCTCTTGAGGAAGCTATTATGTTCATTTCATAAATGCACAGCATTCTACAACAAATAATAAATCCTAAAAGAAACACACACAATCATATTTAATATAATAATAATAATCATTGGATTCAATATAGTGCCTTATCACATTGTTGAGTCATTCCCAAAGCGCTTCACAAAATACATTGTAAAATTGATTGACAGTGTTTTTGTGGGCAAATATATGTCAGTGATTGAGCAGCAACCGTGCTAGCCCTCTTTTCAAACATTCTTCATATTAGAAGAATTTGTTCAACTTTCCTAGAATTGTACAGCACAGAAGGAAGCTATCCTGCCCATTGTGTCCGTGCCGGCTCTTTTAAAAAAACTATCCAAATCAATCTCACTCCCCTGCTCTCTCCCCATAACTCTGCAAACTTGTCTCCCCAAATAAATGTCTACTTTTCTCTTAAAAGTCGTTATCGAATTGTCTTCCACCACCCTTTCAGGCAAAATGCATTCCAGATCCAAACAACCTGCTGTGTGAAAAAAAATTTCCTCACCTCCCCTCTGTTTCTTTTTACAACTGTTTTCAATTTGCTCGGGTTACCAACCCACCTGCCAGTAGAAATAGATTCTTCTTGTTCACCCTATTAAATCCCTTCATAATTTTGATAACTTCTATTAAGCCTCCTGAAGTTATGAGGAGTTAAGAAGGTTAATGATCCAATTATGAGGATCATTTATGAGGAGTTATGAAGTTTATGAGGTTATGAGGAGTTAATGATCCAGATGAATTGGTTCGATCCATTTGATTCTTCCAGAATACCTGTCCTCCCATACCCCTATAACAGAGTTAAGTTGTTTCTTAAATCAGTCCGATCCCCTAGTCTCTACCTCCCTTTCTGGTAGCTTGTTCCAAACTTCGATTATCCTCTGGCTAGGGTAAGGGAATGCTTCCTGAAATTACCATTTGCAACCCCTCTTGTCCTGCTGCCATGACGTGTCAGACAGGATTACTCTGAATTTACTTGCTCAGTCCCATTTAAAATCTTGATTTTCCCACAACAACATCCTCCCACATGGTCAGGTTTTGGGAAATCAGTATTGTTCTGTGGTCAAGAACGTCCATCTCTTCACAATCAATGCTGGAGCATTTACATTCATCAAGTAAAAAAATGTGACGTGTGCTGTGCTACTTGCTGTATCAAATGCAAAAATTCTGCCTCAGGCTACTTTGCAGAATGCTGTTCTTGTTAGAACTCAGCATTCTGAGACATTATCCTACACCAAGGGTGCCATATAAAAACTATATTGTTATTTAATTAAGCCGGTACAGTCGTTGATACTGCAATACTTCTTGCTCCTCTGAACTTTTGTCTGTTGTTATCTTGAGATGAATGTTTAGCAGGAGAGGTTGTCAGAGGCAGACAGTCATTGTCAGGATTAATCGGGAAAATTTCTAAAATCCTCTCAGCACTTGACAATTTCTTGACACAGAACATGCATGTCTTCAGTCACGTTCATCATATTCAGGATATAATTACTAAGTGTCATCAAGACCTATGTCACAGATGTTTCCACTCCTCCCTGTTTATCGACTAATCTTACATGGTCACTCAGATGCCAGAAGAAATTCTTGTCACTTCTGAAGCCTAACTTGAATTTCTTTCTTTGATAAGCATTGAAGCATTGAAGAGCTGCATAACTTGTAATTCTTTACTTTTATCATCACGAGTTGAAACAGGTTCTGATTGTGATGGAGCAGGATTCCCCCAAGTCAATGTCACATATTTCTGGATTTCTTAATTAAAAAATCTTTTAAGAAATACCACAAAATTCTAAATCAACATCTTTAGTCAATTTCAAGAAACATCCGTAGGATCTTACTACAAGTCGCTTTAAACAAAAAAACTATTGAAGCAAATTATAACAGTAACTGTATAAATCAAGCTGTCATGTCACCAGTTTAAAAATAATATGCAGAAAAACAAAATAAAACACAAAAAATCCATGTATTTGAAATAATTCCTTTCATTTCAGAAGGATGTCTCGAAATGCTTTATAGGATTTACTGTAAAGTGCAGTGACTGTATTTTGTAGGTGAACACAGCAGTCAATATGCACACAGCAATGTCCCACAAACAACCATGAAGTGAATGACCAATTTTATTTGTGGGAACTCCTTTCTCTTTTCCAATGGTGTCATGGGATCTTTAACATCTACTTGAACAGGCAGATGATATAAAAACAGAAGTCGCTGGGAACACTCAGTAGGTCAGGCAGCATCTATGAAGAAAGGAAACTGAGTCAACGTTTCGGGTCCACGACCCTTTGTCAGAACTGATGATATCAGGCAGGTGATATCTTGGTTGAATGGTTCACCTTAGCTGTACGCAAATTAGCTGCCACGTTCACCTACACTATCATTTGCAGTAAATCCTGTGAAGCACTTTCACATGTCTGAACAAAATCACAAGGTGCTATATCTAATGCAAGGATTATGATTTATGTTTTAACTGCAAAATTAATCGAGTGGTGACAGGAGGAGCCTCTCCTGATCATCAGTGCCTCCAGCACTAAGCAGCTCTTCCTGTCTCTGGAGCTACAACCAGTCTAAACTCAGCGGCAATTAATTCCTCAGTGGAAAGTCTAACTAATAACCAGCAAATTTGTTGCAAAATGAAAATGCGGCATTTTGACCCACATCAGAGTCACAGTGCCTGTTAAACAACGTTCTCTGATGTCTCCATTTACTTCTCTGGGATTCTTGAATTTTATCTGAGTTTTCCAGCATTCACATAATATTATTAATTTTTCGTTGTGCATGAATATTACATTGTTCCGTAATTGAAATAAATGCTCACCTCACCAAAATAATAATTGTATAAATTCTACAAAGGATGAGAGGGAGAAGAACTGGCTGGTGTTCTAGAGAGAAAGAAAAAGAGAGAATGAACTTTGATGCAGACAATCCAATTTTTTTTCTTTCTTCAAGTTTTCTCTCCGACAGCAGATCATGTATGAATAAATAATTGTTTCTGGCAACCGAGCAATCTCCAGTGCCTGGCAGTATTTACATCAGGGTTTCATCAACTGTCTTGCAATCTCTCCTATTAATGTCCTCAGATGTCTGCAATGCTAGCTGTGGACTAATACATATTAAGGAGTGTGTTGCACAGCAACAGTGCAGTTTAGATGTTTTAAGGAGATAATATTACAATTTAAAGGTGTATGTGGTTACTAATAATAATCCTTACATTTGATATTGCACCTTTCATGTCAGGCAGACATATCATCTGTGAAGTGTAGTGACTGTGTATTGTGGTCAGCAGTGTCCCACAAACAGCCATGAAGTGAATGACCAATTTTTTGGAGGGGCGGGTAGTGATTGTGACCAGAGTATGGGAAAAACTGATGTGGGACTTGAACTCACAATCTTCTGACTCAGAGACGAGAGTGCTACACACTGAGCTAGGCTTACGCACAAATTACCCCAGTGAAGGAGAAACAAAAGGTAAGTGCAATTCTTTGAACCAGAGGTTCAATTAAAGTAAACTTCATGTTGAAGGTTCCCCTAATTGAACCTCTGCTTCAAAGAATTCCACTTACCTTTTGTTTCTCCTATTTCTCTAACTACTTAATATTTCTGTAACTACCTGATATTTCTCTAACATCTACTGTTCTTACATTGACTTATTTGACTTACACAGAAACATGACTTACTTGACTCAGTGACCTTAGAATCGTTTTCGCTGTGTGTCAGTCTGATTCACTTGGTACCATTTGACTCTCGCCTCTGAGGCAGAATATTGCCTCAAGCCCACAATGGGACTTTGAATCCACGGTCCAGGCTGACACTCTAATATTAGGCATAAGGAGCGCAGCATTGTTGGAGGTACTGTCTTTCAGATGAGACGTTAACCGAGATCTCGTATGCCTGTTCAGGTGGATATTAATGATCCCATGGCGTTACTCAAAAAGGGAAGGGAGTTTCTCCTAGTGTCCTGCCAACAATCCACTAGACAAAATTGGTCATTCACTTCATGGCTGTTTATGAGACATTATTGGGCACAAGTTGACTAACTACAAAATTTTGTGTTTGGCTACAAAAATTATACAGTCACTACACTTTACAGTAAATCCTGTGAAATGCTTTAAGAGGTCCTCCCTAAATGAAAAGTGCTATATCAAAGTAACATTTTTTTTAACTGTTCTGCTTCTTCTCACCCCCTGGCTTCTTAATAGAGGACAGGTGATTTCATCCCCCATTGTATGTACCAAAGTAGTCTTCTAAATTGTCTCTCTCCTCTCTCCTCTCCTCCCCCACTAAAGTTAAATCTCAAGTTTGCATAGATATTTGGAAAGTACATAGTGAGCTTGAATGAGATTGACTCAGTAACAATGTGGTTGTGTGCCCAGCTTCGCACCTTCGTTACTATTCACATACTGATGTGACAGCCTGTCCTCAGTTAATGATCACCAGCATTGCTGTGATGTGAGCTGGCACAATACAATGCAATTTATATTTATACAACACCTTTTTGTCAGGAGTATGTCGCAAAGCACTTGCAAAGCTAATAGCAGGCAAGTGAAAATTATTGCACTGGTTGTGTTTATCTCAGTATCATGTAAAGTTGAGATACAGTAAGGGAAATGTTCTCACCAAATACAAAGATTGTTTATTTACTTATTATAAAATTATAGAGAGAGTGAGATTAATATGTGCCTTGTTGCATTTCACTAGTTTGCACTCTAAGAAATTACCAAGTCAAATGAAGCGAGTGGGATATTGTTGATAACTGGTGAGAACTTCTGCTCTATCCCTCTGCTTCACCCCTTTCTATCTCTCTGTAAATTCCACCTTGAAACCGACATCTATGGTCATTTACTTCCCCCGTCCCATCCCTCCTCTTCCTTGTTTAGCATACATCTTTGAGGCCTGGAACAGGTTATCACTGCCACCTTGTAAACGTTTATGCTTCAGATTAGTTGGAAGTGTAAAAGTGATGGTTCTCCTGTAGATCTGGACACTTTTGTAATTTTCAGAATTCCAGGCAGAGGAGCACAGCTTCACCCCCCCATTTCAGACCTCCAAAGCCAAACACAGTTTTCTTTTAGGAGATAACATTATGGGATATAGTACATAAGTAGTTCAGCACATATGTGCATGCGACCGCCAGGAAACTGGAAGACGAACTATATGGACCTTGGTCTTTTTTTTTATCTAGCATTTCTTATGTTCTTATTTAAAGTCAAACACATTGTTAATTCGAAGCGGAGAGTACTGACCACCACCAACAAAGAGGGTTTGAGGCACCATTTCATTTTTTTGCCCTGTGAAAACAGTCTATAGGCCTGTGAAGCTTGCGAAGGAGACAAGGGAGTTTGCATGTGGGTTGTAGGCGTTTTTATGGTTACAAACTATTTTTGCTCAAAAATAATGATAAGCTACGGCACATACTGCAGAAATGTTCATGAAATGATCAATGCAGTTCACAGAGTTTGAGGGCTGCAAATAACTTGGGAGATGGGATTTAAATAGCAAACATAAAAAAAGGTCATAAAATAATCATTTCCTAAAATTGCGGCACTGTGTTCATGCTGTTTATTGAATAATAAATGCACAGGGTTTGAGCTGTAACGTATGTGATTACAATTATGTTCCTTCAATTTGCTTCATTTGATTTCTCCTTTTCTCTCTCTCTACCGACCCCAGTGATAAGCTGTGGCAACCCAGGTGCGTTGGCTAACGGTGTGCAGTTGGGAAGTGATTTCACATATAATAAGACAGTAATATATCAGTGTAATCCAGGGTACATGATGGAACCTGCTGGATCATCTACTCTACGTTGCACGAGAGACGAGTCCTGGAATCTGCCCAAACCAGTCTGTAAAGGTAAGAACAGATGTGATGTACAAGAAAAAATAAGGACTGTCATTCTTGGCCAGTGTTTATTCTCTTCAAAACATTGAAGTTGTCTTATTTATATGACTGCTTAATCACTGGTAATTGGACCAGCATCATTTTTAAAGAGAATTGACGACTTGTTTGATGCAAGGTAACAAATAATGGTGAGCTGTCCACAGCCACAGCAGATTAATCTGTATGTTATTCTTGGTGGAGAGGGAAAGTAAGGAAGAGGGTCTCCTTGGAGCTGAACTGGCTCACAAGGGAACTTGCTTGGCAATGGAATGTCTTAATCAAGCCAGCCATCTGTGGTGGTCTCGGTAGTCCAGTTCTGAGCCAGGCAGCTCCACTGTTTTCCAGGGCACTGATAATGACAGCACAGTCAGCGTGGCGTATCAGCAGGACTTCGAAGTGCAGACCAGTCACTGGGAGCAGGGATTATTGCTGCTCATCTACTGTTAATCCTGCAAGTTAAAGCCCTAATGGGTCGGGTGGTCCCAGCTAGACAAGCAGCCGGAAAGCTTGCTAGAGAGTGATTTTAATGACAAGCTATGCAGTTTTAGCTGATTACACTTCAGTGGTACCCCAGTGCACAATTTGGAGTCCCCCAGTCTTGACTCTTGCGAACATGCGCCTAGTACTCTCCAGAATTAGGTAAGCAGGATGTATCTCTCCGGGAGGATGTGTGCATTGACTTCCAATAAATATCTCGTGAATCTCTATGTGTAGGTGGGATGCGTGGAATTTTCAGATGGCTTGGATAATGTTAAGCACGGTGATGGGTTTCCTCGTGCGTCAGACACCCGGCTAACCCCAAAAAAGAATGCTTTTTGGCTTTGAACATTGCAAAAGTAAAGTTGTAAGATGTACCAAATAAATTATTAATACTGTTTACCCTTACATATGATGTCATGCCTTTCACATCAGGATTTAAAGCTCCTCACAGGATAATTAGTAAAGAGTAAAGTGGATTACACTAAAATGTCTTTTGTAGGATAACGTGCTATTGTAGTAAAAAACAAGCAACACAGAGCATCAACATTATAGAGCATTGTAGCATAGATAATTATACTTTTAAAAGAGTCAGCTACAGGGGTACTTGGAAAGAGCAGGTAAGTGGGACTGAAATGATTGCGTTAAAGGGAGCCAGCACATACACAATGGGCTGAAATTTTTGTGCTGTAAATTTCTTTGGTTCTATGACATTCCTTGCTTCTTACGTCTGCAGGAGAAATTTATTTAAGAAGTAGCACTAAAGTTATTGAGGGCTAACTGGTTAATTTTTCCATCAACTGAGCAGTGGTTTCAGAAATATAGCCAGTTGATGCTGATCAAATTTTGTACCCAGTGAGGTTTGGAATACTGAACATCACACAAGGAGTTGAGAAACTGCAGCAATATTGTAATCTTGCAGAATTACGGCTTGTTTAAAACTAATTTATTGTTAGGATTCTGCAGAAATATTTCCTTGTGTTGCTGCTGCACTAACCGATTGCAGTTGAGTTGCTCCTTGTGCATTGCTGATTTATTGTAGGATTATTGCAGAATTAATGCCCAGCAAAGGCGATGCTATAAAACATTTATCAACATTGGTGGAGGGGGCAGTGTAGGAGTGCAATACACTCGCTCTTTGCATATTAGAAACTGTGTTGTGTCCAGTTTGCCATCAGCGGAACTTGCCATTTTAATAATGTGCTATCAGGACCTAAAATGTACCATTCGAAAACCATTGTTTCGTTTTGGTCACCCGGGTGTCTGACACATGCAGAAAACCTGTCACTATGCTTAAGAGTATCTAAGCCAAACAGATAATTCATGTACGTCAGCAGCACATGCATGTGTTTGGAATTTTTTTTCAACATTCATTCACCAAATAGGTTGCTGAATTTGCCTGTTTAATTGTCCTTCAGATTTGCTAAGTGTATTTGTTTTTGTTCCTCCCCGTCCCTGTCCCACCAAAGTTATTACCTGCAGGCGACCACCCCCCGTGCTTCATGGCAAAGTGGAGGGATCGGACTTCAAGTGGGCGTCTACCATCAGCTACACTTGCTCGGAGGGATATCAGCTTTCCTTGCCTGCTGTTCTTACCTGTGAAGGAAATGGCATATGGAGAGGAGAGGTCCCACAGTGTTTACGTGAGTCCACAGCAACCTTGAATACACTTTAGAGCACCATTGAAACTTCTTTTTAATCAGCTGGGTGTCTGACACACACATATACCACCTGAACAAGAAAATTTCCCTGTGCCTGGAATAGAATCCACACTCTCTTTCTCTCTGAGTCAGCTTGGCTCAATGGTAGCACTCTCGCCTCTGAGTCAGAAGGTTATGGATTCAAATCCCATGTCTGGATGTGGAATTATATAGTCGTAGAATGACATTCCGGTGCGGTTCTGGGGATGTGCTGCATTGCCAGAGGTGGCATTCTTCGAATGAGACGTTAAAATGAGGTCCCATCTACCTGTTTAGGTGGACGAAAAAAGATCCCTCGGCACTATGCGAAAAGAGAAGAAAGGTTTACCAGTATCCTGGCCAACAAATCCCCCAAATAAACTTGGTCACTCACTCCATGGCTCTTTGTGGGATATTGTTGTGCACAATTGGCTGCCACAAAATATACAGTCAATCCTGTGAAGCCCTTTTAAGAGTTTCAGAAATGTCATAAGGCGCTATATCAAATGCAAGTATTATTATTATTAATGAGGAACACAGTCTACTTAAACCTGGAGAGTGTTAGGCACAGGTTGGCAAGAGCCAAGGCTTGGCAATCCTTGAGTGTGGATTAGGGATTTAACTAATTTTTCTTTCTTTGGCATGATCGAGATCAGACATTTCTTTAATTTGTCATTTTTTTTGTTCTCTGCCTTTCCCATTCTCATTCCACCTGCTATAATTCTCCATGTCTTGTATCAACTTTAGCTCCCCAATTATGTACAGTGTTGCATGTTCTTTCTGCATCAACCTGTATCACATGGCCTGGCAAGTCCCCTGTTCCACAGACTCAAGTACTCTTGCAGTAGAGCACTTAAGTGATCTTGTATTTCCAGACATAAAGCGGAACCGTACTTCGACAATCACTTTCAGTTTTCATACCATGCCTTTCACATAAAATGAACATCTCAAAGCAATGAAAATTCCACTTGCATCCACATCTCATCAGGATACCAAAGGAATCCCTCAGGTCTCCAGAGCTGCTTTGTACTTCCAATTAGGAGTCATATCCATGGTACCATATATTTGGTTCTTCCCATCCTCTCAGCCCAGGAGTGACCTCTATTTAGCATCTTTGCTTACTGATGGTGTCATTGCCAATATCAGGAACTCCCAATGCAGAGACACATCTGAGCACCATATGCCAGTCCATGGTGGCACACCAGCATGTTAGAGCCTTAATATGTTAGTACATCAGTACGTTAGACTGTTAATGTCTTGGTAGATTAGCATGTTAGAGCTAAATATGTTTTTGTTGTGTGTTCATTACTGCGAGAGTTAACTTCTCAAGTGGTCTCCTCGTTGATCTATACAGTCCTACCCCATATTAACTTATAAGCTCCATCTCATCTGTACCCTCTCCCACACTGGGCTGCACACACTAATCTGTTGGCAGGTATCAATGTTCTCCCTGTCCTCCAGAGGATCAATTTCAAGATGTTACGCCAAAGTTAAAATTGCACTATGTCCTTGCCTGACCCCCATCTCTGCAACCTCTTTTAGCACCATGACTCTGTGCACACCCTCTGTTCCTACATATCAGGCACGGTGCATATCCCTCACCTGCTCCATCCCGCCATCAGTAGTTGAGCCATCAGTCATTTTATGCCACCATTACAAAACCCTCCTTTGTCAATGCTTTTAATCAACAAATCATTATCCCCCTTCCTTTCTAATCTTGTTCATTAAACAATTTCTGTTCTCTGAATAGTAAACAGACAAACTCTGCCAATGGTCTCCAAAGGCAGAATGAGTTCTACTCTGTACCTTATTTTTCTTTGTGTGTAAAGCTCCACTCCCTTTGTTTGTATTGATCTTTGACTGTATTTACGGGTAGGCAATTTAGTGAGTTAGGTTCATTTCTAATAGGACTCTGAACAAACACTCCACAAACACAAACATTTAGGTGACGGTGATGACCTTATCTTTCTGAGAGGTGTTAGAGGAATCTCCAAGAGAACATTCACTTTACTCCTGATTGGTGATGGAAGGCTGGAAGATCAGTGTAAACAGACCGTTGTTGAATGTAGGCCATGTGTCAGTTTGGGCGTTTTGATTTGCTGGCTGAGGAACTGATAATAGTCTGGAGGTAAATGGTTTTCTATGTAGCAAAGAAGGGACTGAAATCTTAATGTCAACAGCACTTTAATGCAGCTTCAAGGAGTCTCACTCACGTGACTTTCTCCACTGGTAACCAGATATTATTATGAGGAGGATTTTTTTTCAAAGACTTAAAATGACCTTATGAGATCGGTGGCATATATGCACACCAAATATGCATTTTCTGGTATTAATATCTTTAAAAGTTAAACAACAGTAGTATTCCTTGCATTCAATATAATGTCTTATCATGTCATCGAGATGTCTCAAAGCCCTTCACAGGATATACTGTGAAATTATATTGTATTTTGTAGGCAAATGCTGAAATCTTCTTGCAAATTCTACTTCAAACCAAGGAACACAGAAATCATGGTTTTGCTTCTCAGTTTATTGACCTCAAATTGATAGATGTACAATCGAGACACTGATACTGAGATGCATTGTCAGACGTAAAAATGAGTTCTGTCAATCTCTGATTTTCCTTGTGGTCATAGTGAGACCGGGATGAACAGTTTGGAGATTGAAACTGATAAGCAATGCTCTGTTGTTGAGGATGGGGACGAGAGAATAGGGTTGAGTAAGCCTATATTGGCAGGCTAAGACTGACAGTTCATCCTATTAGATTAAAAATATTATTCCATGAGGAAATTTTTATTTTTGGGCTCTATCTATGCATATAGAGATAACTTAACCGATAATAAATGGCGTGACATTTCAACATCACAACCTGACAGATCAGTTACACTTTGAAGGAACATTTATGCGTGCAATCGATAATTATTTTTCATTTCACAATTTTGTGTCTTAAAGAAATACTCTTTCACGGGGCCTCTTTTTTTAAAAAGAAGTCTGTTGCTTCCTCTTTGTTTAGTACTCTGGGGCTGTGCCAGGAAAAATTACAAGGGTTTCAAATCACTTTTCACTTTTGGAACTTGTGTGTGTACCAGTTTTATTTGTGTTTGTTCAAGGATAAAAGCACAATCCCTATTGGATTGGTGCAGGGGTGTTTATTTAATATAAATTTATTATTTAATGCTGCTTTCTGGAATCAAAGTAATACTAATGGGTTTTGGCTAGAGTCTGCCGATCAGCTTGCGGTTGAGTTGCGTATATTAACAGGTCTGAACTAAAGGCTTAAAAGGCATCTTCCGAGAAAGCATGATGTCAATTCAGTACAGAAACAACAGGGGGAGAAGAACAGCATCTGACTGCTATTTGGATTAGTCTCATGTCTTTGCCTCTATACTAGATTCATTTAAAAAGCTGTTTGATCCAGTGATGAGAGGACAATGGGATGGGTGATATGGAGGGATGAAACTGAATGCTCTGAAGGGCTTCTTCATTCAGAATAATCTTGTGATACTGTGAAAAACAGCTGGTGAGCTTTGCAGCTCTGGCCCTTGAGGTATTGCAAAGAAGAGCAACACAGATGATCCCAGTGTTAAAGGAATGAGCTATGAGCAACAATTGGACAATCCAGGGCTCTTCAATATAGAAAGAAAATCACGCAGAGGACACCTTATAGATATACATTTCTAAATGGGATTGAAAATGTAAACCCAGAATAATACTTAAGGATGCACCAAGACAGTAGAACAAGAGGACATAGGTTTATAGTTGCAAATGGCAATTTCAGGACAGATATCAGAAAGTTTTTCTTTACTCAGAGGAAATTAATGACTGGAATAGGTTACCAGCAAGGGTGATTGAGGTCAGTACAGTTGGATTCATTTACAAAGCATCTGGATACTGTGATAGGAGGATAATAGGGTGGCTATTCTAAAGGGATGAGATCAAATCCCTTCCTTCAGATGAAGCAGGTCTTTCTTCATCTGAATCAATCTTGTGTTCTTCTGCCTCTGGATTGAAATCTTCAACCTTGAAGAACACTATTGCTTTTACTACTAGGAATTTGAATCAAACTTTCTTAGAAACATATTCTGCTGTTAATCCCAGGCTCTGTAGTCTGTAGTAAATGTTCCATTTTTGATTAGACTGAAAAGAATAATTTGAGAACGTATCACTAAATCCTGTGCAGTTTCTGAATGTGGGTATGTATGTTCTGTATGCGGGTATGTATGTTCGGGGTGTATGTATGTATAGGACTTGGATCAGAGCTGAACTGGAGTTGAGTAAAATTCAGTAACGATTGTTGGAGCTGAGTTTATGACCATTGGAAATATACAGTATTAATTTGAAGCTGTTGTATGACAGGTTCCTTCAAACATCCCCACAGGCATTCCTGTGATCCTTGTTGAAAGGTGAAGCTGCCCCTATAATATCAGCATCTTTTTATTTTCTATCTTTGCCTGCAGCCATGTTCTGTGGAGACCCAGGAACTCCGGTTGAAGGTCGAATTGAAGGAAGAAGTTTCACGTACAACTCCAAGGTATCATTCCGCTGCAGACCCCCATTCTTGCTAGTGGGATCATCTAGGAGATTCTGCCAGAAAGATGGATCCTGGAGTGGAATTCAGCCAACGTGCATTGGTACAATTACACCTGCCTATTGCACCACCTTTATTCCTCATCTACCTGTCTATTTCTGTCTATACTTCAACCTTAGCCACAATGTCCAAACCTTTGGAACTGCTTGCCTCCATCCATCTGACTTGACCCCACTTTACCCATCTTCAAATCATACCTGAAGACTTTCCACTTCAACCATGCCCATCATGATCATCTCCCATTTTTCCCGGTCTCAGCATCAAATTCAAATTCTGCCATTGTTCGGAGCTCTGAGATGCTATCCTGTGTGATGAGTGCTATACAAATACAAGTTGTTGTGGTTATTGTTGTTAATATTAACCTCTCTTCATTCTTAATTCCTATAAAAAGATCCAATACACACCATATGCACTGACCCAGGGACACCTCACTTTGGAATGCAGAACAGCTCTCAAGGTTACCAGGTAAGAGAACAATCCTCAGCGGGAAGTCATTCCCCTCCATTCGGTTATGGTCTTCCTGTACTGATGACGTTTCTTTTATTTTTGAAGGTTGGAAGCACAGTATTTTTTAAGTGCCGAAAGGGATACCATATTCAAGGCTCCACCACCCGTTCTTGTCTGGCCAACTTAACATGGAGCGGTATGCAACCGGAATGTCTTCGTAAGTTCGAACATTTTAATATTGGCGGATAACAGCGGTGCCATTTTCTGCCTGCCTGTGTGTGTATTTTTTTTCTTCTCTATTAGGAAATATCATTATAATAATAATAATAATCCTTGCATTTGATATAGCGCTTTTCACGTCGGGAGGACGTCCCAAAGCGCTTCACAGAACACACTGTAAAGTGAATTGACTATATATTTGTGGGCGAACATGGCAGCCAATTGCACACAGCAATGTCCCACAAACAGTCGTAGATTGAAAATGACCAATTTATTATTGTTTTTGGTTTTGGAGGGATTATTATTAGGTGTGTGGAGTAAGGAAACTTGCCCAAGGTTTCGCCCTCTGCCTGGAATTGAACTCAGGTCTCTCACTTGCAAAGCGAGTGCTCTAACCACTAAGCTACAGGAATCCACATAATGTATCTCATTAGGATACAGATCTTATCTCTTCATCGCTGTATATCAATTCAGTTCATGATTCTTTGTGGCCGGGGGACAAAACAAACATTTTCTTGGAATTCATACTTTGCCGTTTCCAAATGTTGCAATCCAATACAAAAAATTCAACTTCAAGATCCTCACACTCGTCTTCAAATCCCTTCATGCCCTGGAACCTCCAAACCTCTGTGGCCTGCTTACTCCCCAACCCACTACCCATTGCCGCCGCTCATCTCTTGCCCTCGTTCCACCTTCGGTCGCCGTACTTTCAGCCACAATGCCCCAAAATCCTGGAACAGTCTCCACATTCCCTCTGCCTTTCCCCCTCCTTTCCCATCTTCTGTTTGCAACTAAAGACCTTGTTCTTTCATCATGTTTATGGTCATCTCCCATCTACGGTGAGTGAGAGCCTGGCTGTAAAAGTTGAAAGACACCTGGGGATTGAACAAAACACCATGATTCCTCACTGGTTTAGGGAGATGGATTGAGTGTCTGCCTGTCTGACATTGAGTCCTGGACAAGAGACAACTTTCTTCAGCTCAACATGCGTAAAACTGAGGCCCTCCTGATTGGCTCACATCAGCGCCTCCGCACCTCAGGCGCTGACAGCATCAGCATCCAAGGCTGCACTCTCCACCTCTCAAAGTCAGTCAGGAACCTCGGTGTTCTGTTCGACCCTGAGCTGTCCTTTCTCCCTCATATCCGCGCCACAACTGGCACCGCCTTCCATCACCTCCGGAACATCGCCAGACTACGGCACTACATCACCCCTCACGCTGCTGAAACTCTGGTCCACGCCTTTATCACCTCAAGGCTGGACTATGGGAACTCTCTCCTCGCCGGCCTTCCCGCCACCTCCCTCCACAAGCTGCAGGTCATTCAGAACTCTGCAGCTCATGTACTGTCCCGCACCAGGCTTCGGGACCACATCACTCCCACCCTCGCTCGCCTCTACTGGCTCCCCATCCCCCAGAGGATCGAATTCAAGATCCTCATCCTCGCCTACAAGGCCATTCTTGGCCTTGCTCCCTCCTACCTCTCTGACCTACTATCCCCCTACTTACCTGCCTGTACCCTCCGTTCCTCTGGCTCCGGTCTGCTCCACATCCCCCACCCCAACCGCCCTACCATCGGGGGCCAGGCCTTCAGCCTCTCAGCCCCTAGGCTCTGGAATTCTATCCCCCAGTGCCTTCGCCGCTTCCTCCCTTTCCTCCTTCAAGGCCAGTCTCAAAACCTTTCTCTTTGACCGTGCCTTCAGCTCCCCTCTTGACTCTCTACCCCCTCCTCCCTCCCTTCCCTCCCCTCACCCTGACCACTTCCCCCCTGCTCGGGTCCTGACCCAACTGTACGGCGCCTTGGGATGTCCTCCCGACGTGAAAGGCGCTCTATAAATTGAATCTTGTTGTTGTTGTTGTTGAGTGTCTGTGTAAGTTGATGTAGTCAGCGACTGAGGTGAGGAACTATTGACAAGATCCAGGTGGGATAGCCTTGGTCTTGTCAATATTGAGCTGTGGAACTTTAGAGCTCATCCAGGTCTCCGACAGGCATGCAATCGTAACATTATGCTCATTGTTCAGGCCTGCGAGACACTAGCCCCACGTGAAGGGCGCAATATAAATTCAAGTTGGTGTGTGTTTTGCAGCTGAGTCTGCTCACTGTCCAAATAGTACATGACTAAAAGGGCAAATGGGCACTGAACTCTATGTACCTATCTCTACTGCCCTTTCTCTATGCACTTGATGTCAAGTTTACAAACCCTTTGTGTTGATTCAAATAATGGAACGGCCTCAAAGGTAAACACAACAGCTGACATTTACTTCACATATAGAAAATAAGCTATTACACATGGCCAAGTACAGCCTCGATATTGCTAATAACAGGGTAATAATACCATTACCTAGCAAGACAGTTTGACATATGGTCTAACATGGCATAAGCCTTATTAACAGTGCTTCACAGCAGCAGCAGCTGCTAACATTAAGATTTTATGTAGTTAGCAGAAACACTAGACATTATACTTTGGCATTCGTTCAAGCTGCAAACCAAGTTTGGTGGTCAAGGTCTATAAAACCAACCCAAGTTTGCAAGCACAATGCCCTAGAGATCTGAGAGTTTGGCAGAACCAGTGATGTCAAATCCAGCCCGTGCTGCCCTTGAAAGTTGCTGTAAGATTTATGTACAAAGGGATGTTGCAGACTGGCTTTTATGGTACTGCAAAGCACAGAGCGATTCAACTTTTCTTACAATAATCCTTGCATTTGATATAATGCTACCTGTAATGCCTCCAAAATATACAATCAATTCGCTTCACAGTGTATTCTGTGAAGCACTTTGAGACGTCGCAAAGATGTGATCAGGCACTATTTCAAATGCAATGATTATTATTATGATGAATGTCTCAAAGCTCTTTACACAATTTTTTTGCAAAGTGTACCAACTGTACATTTTGTAGGTGTATGTAGCAGACAATTTGCATCCAACAATGTCTCATAAACAGTTATCCAATGAATGATCAGTTCTTACTCCAGAATGTATTGTTTCAACATTTGTGCAGCAGAAAATCAGTGCCATTATGTTATGTCCAGGGGTTGTAATCAAAGATCTATTTGATTGAAGCGTAGTAGGTGTTTTCACCCAGATGTTGACACATAGTTTGCTACATAAACCAACAGTATTCCTTTTCCACAACTTTAATTAGAAATTAGATTTAGTTCAGTGTATTAGGATATCCTTTTAAGCGAATGTGGTGAAAAAAGTGATATTTCAAATCAAATAGTTTTCAGGATGAAATTCCAAATCCAACTGCTGTTTCCAGTCTTTAGGAATAAACAGTTAGCGAGATACTGGCTTTTTAGCAAATGGAAAACTATTCTCATACCTTACCGACCAATACAATAAACATGGACATTTTCAGCAGAGAAGGAAAGCATTCAGCTTTCCTTTATGTCTGTACCAAAGTCTCCTTTTTTGTATAAGTGGTCCTTCTTATTAATCCCACTTTCTAGACTTTTTAACCTTTGGAACTCCCTGCCTCAACCCCTCTGCTTCACTCCTGCTTTATCTATCTTTAGTTACCAATTCATCCCCTTTTTATCTATCTTTAATTCCCACTTAAAGATTTACCTTTTGAACGCTCGCGGTATATCAAATGCAAGGATTGTTATTATTGTTATTATTATTATCCAAACCCGTCACTGTGCAGCACTCCGAGATGCTATCCTCCATGAAGCACACTGTATAATGCAAGTTGTTCTTATTATTGTTCTTGTGTTTCGCCCACAAAATATACAGTCAATTCACTTTACAGTATATTCTGTGAAGCGCTTTGAGACGTCTCAATGACGTGATAACGCACTATATCAAAAGCAAGGATTATTATTATTCACCCTTTTTTTCTTTAAGTACTTCTTATACAATTCGTGTTTGAAAGATTTATTTGTAAAAGATCAAGTTGCTGTTGTTGTTCTATTAATCCAACCTCAATGGCTAAAAGATTGAAAAAAAATCAACCTGGGCGGTGGAATGAACAATCTGCTGTGGCAGCTACCCAAGTGGTTCTGTGACGTTTCCTTTCAATTTTTCCCGCTCAGATATGCTGTTCTATTCAAGAACTCAGAGGTATTAGAGAATTAAATCTAGGTCCCACAACACATTGAATTAGTCTCAAAATACCTCCTGGATGCCTCACATATTTAAAAGACTTTCTTTTTAAAAAATAGTTTTGAATCCTCTTTCCCCACCTGTTTTCTAAATCATTGAAGCACTTTCTGATTAAATCACTGAGCTATGTATGAGCTCAGTGACGGTCTGTGTTATTGGCCTGTGTGAAGAAGAATTGCAGGCTCAATGGAGAAACGAGCCAAGTTTTGACTGATACCTTCTCATCCTCAACAGTACAGAGAACCTAAGAACTAAAGAGTTTTTTGCACGCCAGACAGCTGAGCCCGTGTTTGCCCCATCAGGACTTCACGGCATGGTGTTAGCAGCAGCTGGCAAGAGCACTGCCTGCATGGTGGTGCTGCCCACCATTCTCAGGTTGATTGGCAAAGGTTTAAGCTCAGTAAAGCTGTTTATAGTAACAGGATAACAGCAGTGTAGGCTACGGAAAGCTGGATAGCACAATGCACTTGACTCTGTTAACTGGAATACTTTAATGGTCAGAGGAAAGTAGAGGGAATTTGGATTAGCGTAAGCTCCATTGGAGGAGCAAGTATTAGTACAGGCTCAATGGGCCGAATTGTCATCTTCTGTGCTGTAATTTCTACAAACTAAACCTATTTATTAGGTCAGTGCCCATTATCATTCGAATGATGGAAACAAACATGTCCAAAACCACAAAATATCTGCAGTGTTAGCCTACGTTTTCAGCCCTCGTCGGCAGATTCCCCCTCCCCACTCTGCTCCCATTTTCTGAAATTTCATCCTGGAGTCCCTCCGCCTCCTTCTCCCCAGCTTTAAAGCTGCCTTAAAACCTTTCTTTTCAACTGTGCTTTTGTTCAGATGCCCTCTTGACATGAAAGGCCATATAATTAAATGTAAAATTGTTGTTGGTGTACCTAAACCTTAGATTTACAGTAAAATCCTGGCTTCCCGGAATCTGGAATTCAAAACCTAGTCGGAAAGGGCCTGAAATAGAAGATTTTTTGCCAGACACCTGCTAGCCCAACTCTCCCCGTGTCCATCACTGCCACGCTGAGCAGCCTTGCCATCCTTGGTGACCTTCACAGTACCAGGGATATCGACTTTGACTCAGATTGTTTGAATCTCACAAGCAGAAGTTACCCTTTTCTATATCTTTTGCTCGCGGGATTAAGCAATTCCAGTCTGGTACCGGCATTGACATTACTCTTAGCTGGAGTGGATCTCCTCACCATTATAATAATGATAATCCTTGCATTTGATATAGCGCCTTATCACATCTTTCAGATGTCTCAAAGCTCTTCACAGAGTATACTGTAAAGTGAATTACTGTATATTTTGTGGGCAAAATGCGGCAGCCAATTGCGCACAGCAGTGTCCCACAAACACTCGAGGATTGAGTGACCAATTTTTTTTATGGAATTATTACCCCCGGAAAAGCGATCGTCCAATTGACTAACAACTGGATCCCTACTTACTGCGAGGTAAACAGAGGCGTGTGGAGTAAGGAAACTTGCCGAACGTTTCTCCCTGCCGGGAATCAAACCCAGGTCTCTCGCTTATGAGGCGAGTGGTCTAAGTACTGAAGTCCAGCTAGCCTTGCTTTAAATGTACTTATGTTCCACTTTGTTTCAGAGTGTAATTCATTTTGTGTTTTCTTTTTACGCTCAAGCACACAACTGCAGACAGCCAGAAACTCCAGTCAGCGTGGACGTGAAAGCCATTGAGCTGCCAACATTGGGATACACCTTAATTTACACCTGCCACTCGGGATTGTACCTGGCTGGAGGATCGGAGCACCGGGCCTGCAAGATTGACGGGAAATGGTCGGGAAAACCACCTGTGTGCCGAGGTACAGAGATATAACTGCCTGGGAATGATTATAACTCACCGTAACAGGGTTCCACGATTTGAAGAAATAATAACAATCCTTCCATTTTTTGTAGTATATTCTACAAATGTAATCTTGTTGTTGTTGTATATTGGGAGGACGTATCACAGCACTTCACAGAACTTACCGTATAGTGACTGTGCATTTGGTGAGTAAATGTGTTAGCCAATTTGCACACATGTAATATGATGAATGGAAAGTTAGGTAACAGCCTGGCTCAGTAGGTAACACTCTCACCTCTGTGTCAGGAGTTTGTCAAGGCCCATGTCGGGATTTTGAGATTTTAAGATGAAATTCCAGCACAGTTCTGGGGAAGCACTGCATTGTTTGAGTACTGGCCTTTCTTCAGATTAGACTTTATACTGAGGACCCATCTACCTGTTCAGGTGGATGGTAAAGAATCCATGGCAGTATTTGAGAGAGAAGGGAATTTCTACAGTGTCTTGACCAGCAATCCCACAAAACAAAAGTGCTCATTCACTTCATGGCTGTTTGTGAGACATTGTTATGGGTACAATTCACCTATGAATACACAATTACTGTAATTCACAGCAACTCTCTGAAGCACTTTGAGACATTTTGACAATATGATCAGGTCCTAAATCAAATGGAAAGATTATTATTTTTATAATTATATGTGTCTAATATTCAAAAGAGGAGATGGATGAGTGCTCAAGTTCAGTATTACTTTTTATATCTTATGTTATGTGTCTTTAGCTATTTTATCCAGGGTTATAGTGAAGTTATTATTTCATTACACAACAATTCAGCATACTCCAAAAATAATTGCATTTCCACTTGAACAGAAGTAGAATATTAGTTAATATTGGTTTTGATTACAATAAAGTCATCATCAGTTATAATAATAATAAACCTTGCATTTTGATATAGTGCCTTTCAGATAAAGATGAATTCTCAAAGTGCTTCACAGGAATTTACTGTAAAAACGCAGTGACTGTGTATTTTGCATGTGAATATGTCTTTAAAGGAGAGGTGTTGTTTTAGATTTATTAATTTCAGCAGACTGACAGTTCATCAGTACTAGAGTGCAGAGTGATCTGTGATCACATAAATATATTGTGCCTGAGAATTCAAAGACACAGGATCATAGGAGACAAACTAGGAACAGAAGGAGGCCATTCAGTCCATTGAGCCTGTTCCACCAGCTTATTGAATCTTGCAGATCTTTTAATCTCTAAGTCCCTTGGACAATCCAGCAAGATCATTTTTTTTATTAGAAAGGAGGAGAATAGAGGTCCACAATCCTAAAATTTTATATTTTCTAAAGTGCAGGTACTGTACAATTCAATTTATATTGATATAGTGTGTTTCATGTCGGGAGGACGTCTCAAAGACTTTATAGTGCTGGATGGGCACCCGAGCTGCAGGTGGGAGCCGAAGTGGGTGGGGAGGGGAAATGTCACCAAAAAAGCAGTCATAGATGTATATTTTAAGATGTGCCTTGAAAAAGGAGAGAGGAGTGAGTTGGATGAACTCCAGAATGGAATTCCAAATAATAATAATAATAAAAATCCTTGGATTTGATATAGCGCCTTATCACACCAACACAATGTCTCAAAGCACTTCACAGGATATACAGGTAGATCCAAGGAAAGTGGATTGAATGTGTATTTTGTGGGTGAAATGCCTCGTAGTGAATTATAGTCAGAAAGTAAGACAAAGTACAACACAGCACAGTAATAACATTCCCAAGTCAGGCCATGAAACCACCAACACAAGTGAAAAACACAAGTATGAGTTTGAAACCCCCACAGTTCTCTTAAATTATGCAGATGCGCTTAAAGATTATTATGAGAATCAGAAGGACCTTCTCTGTTAACTGGTAGCCTCTAGACAATGGTACTGCTAGCTCTTGAAGGCTTGAATTTTAGAAATGCTGGTTTCAGTTGTGTTCTTATTAACAAATCATTGTATTCCTGGAGGAATTCTTGTCTCATTAAACACAGTAATTGAGAATTGTGACTGTCGCGAGTGAGTAATTCGCTTTTGGGTTTGTGCAGAAGGCTGGTTGGACCCGCTGCATGTCCTATTATACAAACAGTGACTGGTCACTTCTCTGGTTCGTTCATGTTACCGAAATGTTGCTCAAACGCCTTGTCTGAGTTTACTGTGACATTGGGCAGGGTTTTATTAATGGCTGAGCTGTCACCAAATACCGTTTGCAGCATAATGTACATTTTGAAATGATATTAATGGGAAGGAAAGAAGACTGTGTCTCATTCCCAGTGGCAGTGCACGATTTCCATTCCTTGCCAATATCAAGGAGAGGACAAGGAATTTTTCATGAATGGAGTACAGCGTGGCATCAGTGGAATTGTATACAGAGTTATCCAACTGGAGTCCAGGCAGTATTCAGAGTTAGAGGGTCATTTTATTTTTAATTTGCTCAAAGTGCACATCTTGACCATCATGCTTGGGCGTGTGAATATCCTTTGCGTCCTTTGCCTTTTGCCATCATCCGTCATGGAGAGGCAGGTTAAGTGGGTTCTTGTGATCCTTTGTGCTTAAGAAGAATTCTGATGCCCAATGTATCCGGTTTAAGCAGCTTCTACTGCATTATACACCATACAGATTTATATTTAGGTAGGGCATTTCACATCGGAATGATATCCTTAGGTGCTGAAGGTGAGAGTGCTACACACTGAGCTAAGCTCAGTGGGAAGCACTGGTTAAGACTAATTGTGGCAAATGAGTCTGTTTACGGAACATTGATGTGCACAACTGTGCAATTGCCTATAAATACACAGTCACTCCTTTTCATAGTAAATCCTATGAAGCACTTTGAAACCTCCATCCGATTTGAGAAGGCACTATACCAAATGCAAGCATTATTATCAGAGTTATTATTATTGTAGCCCTTAACAATAGCAGCGTCAGGCTCCACCACTGTTAAGTGCTCCAAGACACTACCCTGCACAAAGGGCACTATAATAATGCAAGTTGTTATTAATTTGATGAAAGCTACAAATAATAACCGGTAATTTTTCTTGGGGTCCACAATAAGATTTAAATACAATATTTGCACTTCGCAGGGATAATCATTCCTTCAAAAAGAAATCGGTCACTCAATCCACAACTGTTTGTGGGATACTGCTGTGCGCAATTGACTGCCGCATTTTGCCCACAAAATATATAGTCAATTCACTTTGCACAATATTCTGTGAAGCACGTTGAGATGTCGTGAAGAAGTGATAAGAAGCTATATCAAATCCAAGGATTATTATTATTATTTTCTCGCCTGTCCTTTACTCGATTGTGCCAGCCAGCAGATCTTGTAATAAAATGTTTCCAACTAAGCAACAGCGATTAGCACAACAAATTTGGTGTGTGAATATCACATTTTAGGCTCCATCCTTACTTATTGAGGAAATGAGAACTTGTGCTGCAGTCGGTACCATTCAATGCCTGGCTTAGGTTTTGAAAGTAATACTGTAACTAACCTTGATTGTCATTTGCACGCCACCTTTTGGCTTTCACAAGGTGCAAAGGAAGGCAATCCATTATCCACCTCGGATCATTTGAAACTTCAGAATAAAACAATAAAGTAACTCGAGCTATTTTGCTTTGAACTTCACTTCAGACTTGGCAGCAGCAGAAAATGGGATTGAAACACTTCGTATCACTATTGATATCCTTGCGACGATTCATATGAATGTAGAAATGAAATGTAAACAAGGAACTAGCTGCTAGCATCTCTCAACTGAAAGTTAGGACAAAAGGAGAAATATCTGTTTGTACTCAGATCTCATCTGAAGAGGACTTATTATGTTTTCTGTGAAACTGAAGTGTTTGATGAAGAGCAAATATAATCACTCATTTGGAGGGTGTTTCTTGCACTGAGGAATCTCATGTGTGAATAATCCAGGGTCTCAAATGCATCCATGCATTATCAAAGGACAAAATGTCCTGCTCAACCTTTTATTTGGTAACTCACTCTTGACAAGATCTGCATCCATAATTAGAGGGCGCCAATGTAAGGTAGCAAGCGGTAGATCTAATAGGGAGTTTTGAAGGAACTTCTTCATGCAAAGGGTGAGAATAACATGGAAACCCACTGCTGGAATTTGTAGTTGAAGCAAATAGAATCAATGTATTTAAGAGAAAACTTACATACATAAAGGAGAAGGGAATAGAGGAGTATAGGAGAGGGGAAAAGAGGGCTGGGGGCTTGTGTGGAGTATAAACACCAGCACTGACTGGTTTGAGATGAATGGCCAGTTTCCATGCTGTGTAACTCCATGTGAATTATCTCTGCTTTAAGTTTAAATTTGTAATTTCAGATATTTTTTTAAATTCATTTTCACTAGTTATTAAGGACAGTAATAATAATGGTACTAACAGTACTACATAAACCTGTAACCCAGACTTCTCAGTTCCCCTTTTCTGTTGCTTTCAAGTCAGGTCGATTCAACCTATTTTATCTGTCACATCAGCTTGGCTAAGATAACAGCACTCTCACCTCTGGCTCGGAAGTTGTGGCTTCCAACCCCAGAATGGCCCTTGAGCTCTCTGACCCAGAAGCACCGAAGCTGGATTTAACCCAGATTACGTGGCACTTCTCAGATAAAAGAGGCGAGCTTCGCCTGGTTATCCTGACCACCAATCCTCCAGCTAAAATTGCCCATTCATATCGTGGTTGTTTGAGTGCAAATTCATGCTGTGTTTACCTACAAAACCAAGTCACCAGAGTGACAGTAATTACCTGTCAGACATCAAAAGAATGATGAATAATTGAATGGCAAATTAATGCCACTTACTCGGCAGCATCAACAGTGGAAAGATCGCAGGTGCATAATTGATTGGGATGTTTAAGAGTGTTGGAATATTCCAACAAGAGGTAAATAGATACTTGGGAAGTAAGAGTATATATATTCGCCCTGGCAAGAGAAGAAAGAATCTTCCAGTGTCTTGACTAACAATCCCAACATAAATTTGTTCATTCACTTCATGGCTGATTGTAGGAGGATGCCCTGCACAAATTGCAAGCTACATTCACACATAAAACACACAATCATCACACTTTACAGTATATCTTGTGAAGTGGATTGAGATGTCCTCTCGACATAAAGGGGGGTTATACCAAATTTAAGAATTATTGTTATTATTGTAATAAGTATGGAAACAAGATCCCAATTGGTTGAGCGTTATGAAGCTACAGAAATGCTTCGCTTTTTACAACAGGCCTGTTCATAGAACACTGTCCTATATAATTATATTGCTGGAAATTAGCAGATGAAATGAAAATGCTTTATCCTTTCATCAGCCGGCAGGTTGTAATTGTCCTCATGGTAGGTAATGAATCCTTGTATCTAACAGGCTCTAACACCCCTTTGTGTTTCTGTCATTTTCAGCTGGTCCCAAAATAAATGGCAGATCAAAAGATAGTGATTCAGGAACGCATAAAGTCAAGGCTCCAGGTTAGTATTGCATTAGACAAAAGCTTCAACATGTAGTCACTGCTTTTGAGTGAATTCTTGTGTGTAAACACCTTTCCATCTTCTAGTAGCATTAACGTTATACAAATCAAAGTGTAAAAAAAAGGGGTGCCACAACATTTGAGGGCTGTGATGATATTATTTAACAGATTTGTTTTAACTATTCCCTGGTGTGTGGCTCACTTACTCATATTAATAACTAATAATTGAAGTAAAAGAGGCTTTTACTTCAATTCACTGCCTTTTCCAGTTAAACTCAGAATAATACTTTAGGATGCACTAAGGCAGTGGAACAAGAAGACATGGGTTTAGAGTTGCATAGGGCAATTTCAGAACGGATGCCATGAAGTTTTTCTTTACCTAGAGGGTGATTAATGACTGGAACAGGTTGCCAGGAAGCGGGGGTTTGAGGCTGGGACCATGGACTCATTTAGAAGGATGACATTCCAAGGGCCGAAGGGCCATTTTCATCCAGACCAATTTTGTGGTCTTGTAAATAAATGATCTTGTGGGAACCACAGTGCAACATGTATTAGGTAGCAATGCAATTGGATTGTTCATTGTGCCTCTACTTCTGTCAGAAGGTTTGCTCCAGTAAGAATAATAATAATTATCCTTGCATTTGATATAGCGCTTTTCACGTCGGGAAGACGTCCCAAAGCGCTTCACAGAATATACTGTAAAGTGAATTGACTGTAGATTTGTGGGCGAACGCGGCAGCCAATTGCGCACAGCAATGTCCCACAAACAGTCGTAGATTGAAAATGACCAATTTATTATTGTTTTTGGTTTTGGAGGGATTACGCGTGTGGAGTAAGGAAACTTGCCCAAGGTTTCGCCCGCTGCCTGGAATTGAACTCAGGTCTCTCGCTTGCAAAGCGAGTGCTCTAACCACTGAGCTACAGGACTCCGTACAGTAGATGAGGTGATGATACTTGTACCTCTTAGGGAGCCACACAACAGGGAATTATTGTAACTGGAGAAACACGAATCATGCCATATCTCAAAGAAGGATGTATAGTTAATGGTGGAGAGTTAGTGTAATTATGACAGTGAGAGTAAAAGATAGTTATTCACATTATTTGTGCAACGGGTGTCCAAAAATGTATTTTCAATGAATATCTTGGAAGCATTGTCTCATCCTATTTGTATGTGTGTGCTATCCAATTATTAACATGAGCAAAATAATTGTTACTTACATATGTGATTTGAAGGCATTAAATAAAGCAGCCAATGCAGATTGAGAGCCCTGGAGAAATTCAAGTGGAACATTTGTCTCTATATTGAGTGTAATCAGCAGTTTGCTGGAGTCTTACATTTTTGGGAAGCCGTGTTTGGATGGGGAAGAAATGGACAAGTGACTCAGCGTTGAAACATGGGGTCAAAAGATGTGATGTCTCACAACTGATTGATTGAATAATTAATTGGAGTTGAGGTACAGATCAGCCATGATCTAATAGGATATAGAGATATAGTATATAAGAAGTTTGGGACATATATGCATGCAACCACCAGATAGGTGGAAGGTGAACTAGATGGACCTTGGTCTTTCTTCGTCTAGCATTACTTATGTTATTAATAGAATGGCGGAACAGGTTCCAGGGGATGAATGGTCTACTCCTGTTCCTATAAATTGGATGATATGCTTGATAACTATCAAATCTGTTGTGAGACACTCATTTATTTCTGTTATTACTGGGTCATTCATATACAAATACAGAAAAGTTTTTTTCCAGCAATTTGTGCTGTCTACCTTGCCCCTTGAAAAGAAAGGTTATTGTGCAGGTAAAGCTTTCATCTTGTTGAATTTGTTGCTCTCTTTTTCCAGCTTTGGTGAACCTTGACTTGTTTAAAGTGCAATTGTCACAATTAAACTTGCATTGTATCCTTTAGTTCCTGCAGATGTATTTGCTCTGAACTTGAGTTGGAAGGGCTCCTATGAATATCTCGGAAAGAAACAACCGGCAACTTTAAAAGTTGATAGTTTTAATATTTCCAATGGCAGAGTAAATGTTACTTTTATCGAACACAGTAGCATGGAGCTAAAACTGTCAGGTAGGTTTGTTTTTACATCTGTTGCCCTTGGCTGCATAGTAGTTTGAGTCCCCTGCATTTATCAGTAAAGTATAACTCTAGGTTCTGCTGTTCATACATGTCTTTCTAGAAAGAATTGCTAGTATCCAACTGTTCGCAATGATCATTGTTAAAGGCAGAACAATTGTAGGTCAACCTGCTGACTTTTAAACCAAGGAGTGAAAAAAGAATGATTCCACCCATCACTTTTGTTCTTCCACAGTCAACAACAACTCGCATTTATGTAGTGCCCTCACGTAGGATAGCGTCCCTGAGTGCTTAACAACAACAAATTGCACTAAAAAAGCGCGCTTCACACGGGGTAGAGTCCTGTAGCACTTAAGTAAGTCCCAGTCTATCCGCTTAGGGACTTCATCACACCCAGCTGTATGCATTATATAGACACACGCATTCACATGAAAACTCCAGAATATTCATTGATGCCACATCACTATTAAATTCTCGTCTCCTATCCTTCACTCACCCCTAGTCCCAACAGCACAGAAATTAATTTAATCCATGAAAATTCTATGTAGTTACTGTGTATTTTGTGGGCGACCGCAACAGCCGATTTGTACACAGCAATGTCCCACAAACAGTCATGAAGTGAATGATCAATTTTACTTGGAGGGTTGTTGGACAGGACACTGATAAAAACTCTAATCTCTTTTCGAATAGTGCCAAGGGATCATTAGCATCCACCTGAACAGGCAGACGGGACCTTGGTTTAATGTCTCATCTGAAGAATGGTACCTCCAGCACTATAGTACAACCCAGCATTGCATTGGAGTGTTAGCTTAGATTATATGAGCAAATGAAAGTGTTTATATATGGTACCATGTACCCTGTCATTGTCACCCAGATTCAAAGCCCAGTAAACAGCATTAAGATAGGTAGCCAATTCATTTGAAGTTGGGGTAAATTTACATTAGGAGGAAAACTCAAACCAAGATAACTGGGAGAAAGACTTCACTATCTTTGAAATATCACCAGCAAAGCAGTCCCTTTGCTTCTACTGGATTCACAAGGCAGACGGAACCAAAATGAACACAATCAGATAAGGAGGGTTAACGCTAATCTGTCTCGGCCTCTGTAGCACATCCCTTGTGAAAGCCTTAAAACTTTCAGCTGCAGAGTGTCAAAGCTGAGTCCCTGCAATTCAATTAAATATAAAAGTAAATGCAAGTAACTACTTTCAAAGGTCAGGTGATTTTTTTGCTTATAATGCACTCTGTAATCCTAAATGTCAAGTGTAGTCCTTGCAGAGCTCTGGCAAAGTCCAGATTGATTTTTTTAAGTTCAGACTTGCATTTAAAGTAAGTTAACTATTCACCCACTGACTTTCTGTGGTGATTTCTGCTGCATTTTGAGGAAAATCGGCTTCCAAATTAAGAAAGGATACAGCTAATTCTCCCAAAACACCACAGGGTCGTACATTTTAAGACTATGATATTAAGCTGAAAATTATAAGAAGCACTTAATTCTTTAAATGATTTACTTATGGTTGGGAGGGAAAGACATTTTGCAGTGCTTTCGCTCTTTATATTGAGTGGGCAACAGCTCCACCTCTTTCAGACATTGAGCGTAAAGTCCCAGATTCATCCTTGTCACTCTCCTTTGAATCCCTTCAAATCATCAGTATCTTATTTCAAGACGAAGAGTTCACACATTATTCGAAATGTGTCTCACCATTGTTCTACACATGAATAGCAACCAAATCCCTTGAGGTGTATCCGAGTATGTAGTGGACATCTCATTGGTATCATCTTTACATTGACTGAGAATTTACAAGTTAAAGTTTTGTCCTCAGAAATGTACTAATAGTAACTCTCCATGAAATATATATATTTATATTGTGGTCTGATAGTTTATTTTTTCCTTGTAGGGATTTATAAGAAGGAAGAAAATAGGCTTTATTTAAAGATCTATCAGATTAAAGGGCCTATCGAGATTTTCGTAAGCAAGTTCCGAAATGACAATTGGGCCTTGGATGGTCATGTAAGTACATGAGGCGAAACACAGATGTGTGTTGGTCCTTCATATTTGTATCTTTTATTTAAAAAAAAGCATAAAAGTAAATTAATCTTTCAAGAAAAATGATCGGAATAAAATCTGTGACTTCATCGCGTTTCAGAGAGAGATAGACGGGCAGTAGAGGTGTAAAGAGGTATGGTGAAAAGATGGGTCATCGGAATTAAAAGATCTGTAAAGATGTAATAAACTGGTAGAAGAGGCTCGATGGTCTTAATGTTCCTTTTGATCCTAATGTTCCTTTTGGTCCTATTCCCTATGGTGATTAACACAAGTTTTTGTGGATGAAATCCCACAAACTTACCCCCAGTGCTCCTTAGCATGTGAGGTTGTGTGAAAGCTGCAGTGATTTGTGTTCATTTGTGCATTTAGGTATCGGCAGAGCCTGAAGGCAGGACCTTCGTCTACCAAGGATTCGTTCAAGGCAAAGACTTTCGGCAGTTCGACTTCCGGAGCGAAGGTTAATAACTAAATTGGCTTTGTTTAATTACTGAGAATTTTGTATTGATATCAAAGCACAAGAAGCCACAGCAAGCTGCAGTCTGCACTTCACACCACTGCAATACTCCCAATCATAGCTTCTAGAGAGCTCACTTTGGTGCATACACATACCCTCGGGCTCCTGGCTCATTAAAGTCCTGCTGACAGCTGGAACACAGCTATTAGGTTTGTTCCATATGCCCACCCTGCCCTCTCCACCATCGGCGGTCAGGCTTCAGACTTTCTGCCCCATTCTCTGGAACTGCATCCCGGAGCCCCTTTGCCTTGTCCCCTAACTCCTTTAACATCCACCTGAATAGGCAGACGGGATGCAGCTTGTACTCCCAGTACTGCATTATGAGCTCAAAGTCCCAACATGACTCAGAGGCAAAAATGCTAGCAGCTGAACCACTGAAAAATAATAGGACCGGCAAGTTGACAAAGCTGTAAAAAAAGTTTAGTGAGACCCTGGATTTATTAAATAGTGGAATAGAGTCTGGTTGCCAATTATGACCAATGTAAAAGGCATCGTAGGGCTTATTCATGGATCAAATTCTGAATAAACTCAGTAAGGCCTTTTGTGTCACTTGCAGATAATCCCCACTGAGTGGAAGTTCAAGACAGTGGTACTCAGAGCATTTCAAGTGATTCAGCGCTGTTCACAAGTTGGGAGGGAGGGGGAAAAGGGACAATTTCTAAACAATTTTATTGCTGTTCTTTAAATAAAGGAAGAATGGAATGGATTTAGGAATATTATGATTTTGAGTCTATTTTCTGGGATAAGACCTTTGTTTTATTCTGTCTTGTGAACATTTGCTTGACTTTATTTTTCCCATTTTGTCTAACTTTCAGGAGTGAAGTCGGGAAGTGGGAAGTCAGACAAATCCAACCATTATTATGGCACAAACAGCAGTTCTGTAGCAGCTGCTATCTTAGTACCTTTCTTTGCTCTTATCCTATCAGGGTTCGCTTTTTACCTCTACAAACACAGGTAAGAAATGTATGCCATATTTCCATGGGGCAATGGAACATCGGAACAAATAAAACACTATCTCTTGACACAAAAACAGAAGTCGCTGGGAACACTCAGCAGGTCAGGCAGCATCTATGCAGAAAGGAAGGTGAGTCAACCTTTCGGGTCCACAACCGTTCGTTAGAACTGGGCCGTGTTGGGAGAGAGAGGCTTTTAAGGGCTAACAGAGGGGGGGGGAGGCAGGGCAAGGAAGACAACGTGCCCCAGTTCTGACGAAGGGTCGTGGACCTGAAACGTTGACTCGGTTTCCTTTCTCCTTAGATGCTGCCTGAGCTGCTGAGTGTTCCCAGCGACTTCTGATTTTGTTTCAGATTTCAAGCATCAGCAGTATTTTACATACCATCTATTGACAGGTCTGCTCAGTACAATGGGTGACGTTCTTCAGCATTGAGGCAACATTGCAGATGCTTAACAGCTAATGGCCAATGGGTGACATCACACCTCTCCTGGTTCATTCCTTCATCATTCCGATCCATTGTCGCCATTGTTTTGGGGGTGATGTGATTATTTTAGTTTAAATTATAGTCTCTGGGGTGAGTGTTTTTTAATTGAATTATTGTCATTTTTGAAGAAGGCAGAAATCCATGTTCTCCCTGGTCAGCAGATAAGATTTTCCCAATCAGGCAGCCTCGACACTCCTGGTTGAAACCCCGTAAAAGTAAAACTAAATTGGCATTGTTGCAATCTACTGCACGCAGTACACATTAATGTTCAGTTTCTCCTCCNAAAAATAACTTAATAGTTCCAATGGACCACATGAGTAATGTTAAGATAATAATGCTTGAATTTGATGTAGAGTCTTATAATGAAACACCCACCAAATATACAGAAAGATAGTATTTCTGTTGTAATTAAAGAGTCACTTTGCCCTCCTAGATTTTCAATAAGACAAGCAAACAAATTGGATTTGACGTTGGTTCTCTTAATGATCGGACTTGTGCTTCTGTGTAATGAAAATATTCATTCTGCAGCAAGGATATACCCTTTGACCAAAAAGAAGGAATTTTTTTTTAATGATGTATTTGTTTCTTACAGAACAAGACCAAAAGTACAATACAATGGCTATGTTGGCCATGAGAACACAAATGGACAGGCTTCATTTGAGAATCCGATGTACGATACTAACTTAAAACCCACTGAAGCGAAGGCTGTGCGATTTGACACAACACTGAACACTGTGTGTACAGTAGTATAGCCATCAATTTGACTGCTGACTGACTGATATTAGCCATACCTCTACCTGGCAAGCAGCAAGCAACTCCTCTGGTGCCACATACCACGTCGCTCTGTCCCACTGTTTGCTTTGCAGTGATACTCTTCGGACAACCTTCCTTGGGACGAATGCAGTCAGTGGAGCTTTGCTGGGACCATCCTTTCAGACTCCACATAATTCCTTTAAGACTCCTAACACAGGAAGAACCAAAATCAAGTCCCGGATAGGGATTGAAACTTTCTGCTTCGTGTTGCAAATGGCAATTTTCATTCTCTTCCCCCTCCCCCCCGCACTCCCTACATCACTGTTTTTGTTCAATATTATTTCTGGGCTGTGTATTCTTCCAAGAAGAAAATACAGCGGACACAAGGAAAGGAAGGACAAAAAAAAAACTACTCGGATGCTGACACTAACAGACATTAGATGAACATATAATTTACAACTGCCTACGTCACAAAAATAAGGTCACTGCCCTCTGGAGCAAGGCAGTTTGGAAGCTTTTCATCTGTTGTATGGCAAATTTACTGCACAATTCTTTGCACTATAGTGTTATGAATGAATGGGTAGGATTCTGGCATCAATTGGGGTACAGGGTTATTACACACTGACCATTGTACATACAAACTTGCTTTATAGACTTCAGTTTCCATTGCTGAGCATCCCATAACTTTATTGATGTTGATAGCAGGTAGTAGATCATTTTACTATGTTATTTTCTTCAAAACCTGCATTCTTATAGAGTCAGTTTCTGCTGAGGTCAGGCTTGTGAGTTTTTATGGTTACTTGAGGAAGAAGAAACTATTGGATATGATTCTAAAAACAAAAAGGTCGATATAAGCCAAATAATGTGGAACTAGCTGGTTTTCTAATACAGTCATATTCATTATATTTCACTGTATGATTCTCTCTTTGCAAGTTCCCACAGGCTGTATTTCAGATGTGTTAACCTAGAAATCTATTCTGTTCTCAGCTTTCTCTCTGCACACTGTCTTTTCAAAGTTATATTTAGCTAAACAAAGTGAAGTATTTATTTTCAGAAGAAAGATGCGTGTAAAAAAAAGTTGCAACATTTTAAATATTTTTAAAATATTAGGTTAAGTGCTACAGGGGGGTGGGGGAGGGGAGGAAAGGGGCAACAAGGAAAAATTCAGTAACAATGCCCTAGGAGGCTGTTTGAGTTATGGCCTCTTCCTCCTGTGTTAAGCTGCACTGTTGGTAGAACCTCAGGCAAGATAAACCCAGATGTTTCAAAGCCTGACTGCAAAGTGAGGAGAGCAAAGCCGGGCTGGTCATCTTACCACAAGGATAAAGGTTGACAGGGAAAGGCAGGAAAGTGGGACTATCGATCTATGAGAGAGCTGGCATAGGCTTGTGGTCTGGACAGCCTCCTCCTGCAAGATTCACAAAGCCATTTAGCAATCTGACCGACCCTCAAGGTAAAGGCTAAAGAGGTAGAGAGTTGGAGTGGGAATGGGAGAAAAAAACAAACAGCCTGAGGAAAACAGAGCAAAAAACATTGTTGTGTGTGGGAGAGATTGTTTTCTGTTCCTGGGCAATGTTCCATTTATCTTCGAGTGCCTTCACTTGTGACCTCTGTATCTAGTAGCTTTACCCAATACTAAACTGGATGGAACAGTACATAAAGGCTGCAGTGTTGAAATGAGGAAAGTCGTGTAGATTTCTTTAACAGGTCTGATATACAGCCTGCCGGGGAAAACTATCTCATTTGCAGCTACAGCATCGCAACAAAAAAAAATCTTTTAAGCAATCACCACGGGCTGTTAGTGCATTAAGTTTTATCAAGCTGCATATATGGGTGCTGTCAAGCCTCATTGTTACAGACTGACCAGGACTGAAGAGGTCTGTGAAATAGTTCTTTAACCAGGTGTAACCTTGTGCTGAAAGTGAAGCCAGGGGTTGAGAAGCATGTGCAAAAGGCTTATGCACAAACTGCTCCCCTTCCCTCCCCACCCACCCCACAACACTACCGAGAGATGGTTACTTATGAATGTGTTTCTTTTAAAGATCATCAGTCCATCAGTTTTTAAATGTTATATAAAAAAATGAAGCTTGTCATTTCTCACGGTTGTAGAGCCTATCTTACAATTTATGGTCAATGCGGATTTTGAAAAATTCTGAAATTCACTCGTAATTTTGTAATAATAATCCTTGCATTTGATATAGCGCCTCATCACATCGTTGAGACATCTCAAGGCCCTTCAAAGAATATACTGCAAAGTGAATTGACTGTATAATTTGTGGGCGAAATTTCAAAGCGGGGTTTTCCTCCGTCCTTAGTACCTCTTCAGAGTTGAGGCAGAATTCCCCGCCCACCCCCACCCCCCCACACACACACACATATACAGAAAAATCAGCATGATCTTAAATTGTAAGACAATCAACGTAGAATCATGTGGGTAGAAATTCTGTTCAGTGTGGCACTCAACATCTTTAGTGATGGGCCCAATGTAATGGCAACTTCCATTAAAGGCTGGTATTGTCAAAGGCAATGCTCATAACGCTGAGTGGAATTATTACCCTATAAAAAACTAAGACCGTGAGAAAATTAATACCTTATTCCACAATAGTGAAAATTAGTGACCCAGTGGTAATGTCTCCAGGCAGGAGTTCGGTAGCTGGAATGTTGCAGTGATATGGAAGCATGTTTGCAGTAAATCGCAATGAGAAGCACAGTATAAACTAGGCATTGCTTAGGCTTCAGTTGCTCCTGCAGTATTAATCCTGACAGGGAGAGCAGAAGGATATTGTTATAATCAAAGGTTTAAATAATGGAGCTTGTCAGAGAGAGATTTGACACGTGAAAATGCAAAAAAAAACGTATTTTTAAAACACTCCTAGAAAAGTATTTCATTCTGGAATTCAAATCTCTGATAGAAAACCCATTGAAAGTTATATATAGGGTAATAATTCAGACATGTTGCAAAATCAACTGGGATTTCAATGCCATTTAACTACTGCTTTTATTGGCAATTGTGGTGTTTCTTGTGCTGTAAGAAATAACATCTGTGAAGGAAGCAGGAAAAAAATACAAAGACCCTTTTGTAAAGGTTTCTTCAATTTCATTTAGAAAGCAACAATTTCTGAACAATTTCCTCTGCATAGATCACCTCCAGAACTGCAAGAAAGATCACACTATCCATTTGCATTTTATCGCATGTTCATACAGCATCTTGTACAAAACAAAGGGCGCTCCATTCAATTTTTCCTCTTATCAACCATTACGCTCAAAAAATAATTTTACTAGGAATTATTTTAGAAGAGAGAGGAGGGTGATGGAGGGGAGAATGAACATATCTGCTATGCAGCGTCAGAATATCGAAGATTCCAGTTTCGAACATGTTGTGAAAATTCTATCGCAAAGCTTAGACAACTAATTAAACACCTGAAAGCATGTATTAACCTTTAACCTTCTTCACATCACATCCCACAGACCTTCGCTACAAATTAAATTGCTCTGTTTTGTTTCCAATGATAAGAGTTTAACAAACAAAAGTAACATTATGAACCAGATTGTAATTTTAGATTCCCTTTTACCCATTTAGTAGCACATATAAAAATCTGCTTGACATATACTACAGGCTGATTAAAGGAGAGAATAAAGGGCTCAATTTATAAGCTCCCCCCACCTCCCCCTCCCCAAATGATTTCCATTCTGGAGGAGATCACGACTGCAAATTGCTTAACAGTGTAGATACTCTGAGTCTGTCTCTTAGCCCAGTTGTTGGGTTGGGTGTCCAAAGCGAGCATGTTAAATTGTTTCATGGGAGCACATTCCTTGCTACCCGAGCTGTGAGGTGGGACGTGACTGGAAAAACAGAGGGGCTATACGGTTCACTTTGCTCATTTTTTTAAGCCAAGAAGTGTCAAGGTGGAGGCGAAAATAGTAAAGGAATGAAGGAAGGAGGCAAAGTTGCACTCTATAGAAAAGGGAAATCCTAGATTGCATATCTCTTTACCGTTCATATACAATGATGCGATTAAGAGTCATCTGAACAGGCAACTCTGAGATTTACGTTTACATAAAGTATACATTGAGAATTCTGTTGGGTCATACGGAAGCCAGAATGGTAATATGAAAGATTGCAGGAAGCAAGTGAGAATTGAATCCAGTTTTTATTTGATATGTAATTATTGTGGCTTGAAAGTTGAGGGTCCCAAAATATGAATTTGTAGCATATATAGATTTGTACTTTGGAAACTGATGTTGAATGTAAAAGCTTCACTAGTTCTACTTTCATCTTGGTGCAATGTCATGAAGTGGTTTCATAATCCGATTTGAGCATTTTGGGTTTATTCATACATTTCCCCTACTGTGGCCGATTCAGATTATTAGGGCTTCCTGCTGACAGGACTCAATAACTATCAGCAAAAATTGTTCCATAAACAAGCGTAAGATATACTATTATACTTTCCTCTCTTCTGGTGGAGGTTTCTGCATACCTTCTATGACTCAACATTTTTTTTAATAAGTTTTATGTTAAATTGATTTGAGAGGAGGGATATTCTTCTCTGTTGGTGAACATTCATTGATTATCTCTGTGAGGGAGAAGGGCACATGCAACCCCAAGTAGTTTGCTAGTGACGTCTACACCTTTTATTCTTAATTTTAGTGTTTATCTGTTAATGGGGCATTTTTCGCATGAGTGGCATGTAATGGCATGAGTGCCTTATAGTGGTGCCAATATAAGGTCCAAAAATCCATCTAGCATCAATCCCCAAAACCACACTGTCTTAAATTATATGATCATGCAAAATTGTTGCCAATCCTTAATTCAGATTTAGCTTGAATTAAAATTCCACTGAGAGCTCTTGAGAGCTCATTTCTTTTTTAAGAATTGTGGAAAATCAGCTTCCAAATTAAGACCGAATTGAAGAATTTTCTGCAATTCTCTGCGATTTTAAAGTTTGGGATCAAAATAGTGTCAGCAGGCTAAGACTTGGTGGAATATGGGGACTGTAAT